ATCAGTGGTCGGTGTTGCGTGGCGACCGTCTCGTACGGCACCGTCTTCGCGTCCGTCACTAGCCCTCTATCACGCTGCCTGACGAGGACAAAATCAATTTGCGTTCTGGTATCCCCACTGTAAAACGAGATGAGGTGGGAGTCACGTTTGCGATAGTTTGTGTTCACGATGGTGAGGTTGTGCGAGTTTGCATACTCTAGAATTCTCTCGCCATCGGCGTTTCGTGACCCATACCCAAATCCGCCATGACAGCTGTAACCATCTTTCGTAGCCCCCACGTGACCATTTAGGTCACCGGCAACAATTAGGGCATCCTGCGATGGTACATCAGCTGTTTTGTCATCCAGCAAGGCCCAGAACTGGTCCTTGGCGTGTTCGGAGCAGCCTGTCTGCGGAGCGTACGCAGAGAAGAAGTGATATTGACGTTGCTCAAAAGCGACAACGATCTTCATTAGGCGGTCATCGTAACGTTCAACGCTGACAATCGAGTCACGGAAACGTTCAGAAACGATAACACCGACACCGTTAGTTGTCCCGGGACTGCCGCAAAGAATGGCTTTGAAGCCACGGCCAAGGTCCTTCGATTTGCAGCAGGACCACCTCGTTTCTTGCACAGCACAGAGATCAATTCGTCTGCGCTCCAGTGTCTCTACCAACTCAAAAGAGCGGCCCGACAACGTGCCAACATTCAACGTTGCGACGCGAGTCTTGCATACGTTGCGGGACTTTTGGACTAGCCTAGTTGCCCCCCGATGCCGTCCTTGCACCGGAGACCCTCGCATACTTTTCACACTCGCCGGGCTTTGCGAGTGCGCGTCGGCTCCCGCGGACGCCGTAGCATTATCTCGAGATCATATAGCGACATTGACATTTGTGATGTGACGTGGGTGTTCGTAGGCCGGCCTGTCACGGGGGCCTGTCGCCTGCATTCGAATGTCCGTGTCAGCTCAGCTCACAAAAGTGAGCAGTTCCCAGTGGCACCACTTGGAGGAGCGGACTTCACCACCGGTCTGCTCCTTCCTGTCGTGGAAAGGTCTCCGATTCGATGACCTTTTCCACGGTCTGACAGTCGGCGCTCTGAGAAAGGTGCCTAAGAGTAGGCTCTGACTGTGAAGCGTTGAATTTGTGACAACACGTGGCGCCGGCGTCCAACCTACGAAGTTTCAGCGGATTTGGTGGAAACAGCGTGGCCAAATGGCGCCAGCGCTAAAAACGGGTGTCGTTTTCGTAATCAGGACCCCAAATAACCCCAAATGACGAAGTTTCAGCAGATTTGGTGAAAACAGCCGTGGCGCCAAATTGGCGCCAAATGGCGCCAAATGACACCAGCATCAAAATGAATGTCATATTCGTAATCAGGGCATCGAATTACCCCAATAGACAAAGTTTCGACGAAAAATGAAACTTTGAGATTTTGGGGCAGTAATCGTAGTGCCCAATCCGGCAATAGGGGAAGGCTGAAAACGGTGAAAAACCAAAGTTTCAACTGGGGGAAGTAATGCATATCATTCGATAGCATTTTTCACGGGGAAGCTAACGGGGCACATTTCAGGTCTGCGAGTTCATCTGGAAATGCAAAAAATCTGAACTTTCCACAAGGGCATGACGAGGAGGCATGTTTGGGGCCACACCACGGAAGGAACGCTCACTTGCGACCGAGTTTTCCACATAATTCCTACAGACAAGTGACCGTAGTCTACGACAGTGAAGGAAATTGTTCGCTATCTTCACAGCTTTCTGCAAAACATCTCCTCTGAAAATGGAAAATGTCACATAATAGGCCCACTATGCCTGCTGAGAACTGTTCAAAGATTCCACTTGATATACAGAGGATGGGATATTGAGAGCAGAGGGAACACGTAAAGCCAGTAAGCGCTTAAAAACGAAATGAAGATCTAAGAATTCGGAAAATAACATTCATCTAATCTCACAATGTAGTGGATGAGATTGAGTACGTGGCGCATTCTGGGGTAAGTTTTGAGGCCCTTCTCTGTGTGTAGCGGTCAGCCCGCATAAGCGGGATTATATACACATCACATGCGAGCAACTACTTTTTGAGATGAAAATCGAGTGCATGGCGCAATCCTATATGGAGCTTTTCCAAAGTATCAAGCACATTCTTATAGTGTCCGACGAGCTGAATTCAAAGATATCTTCGGATTCTCGAAAGCTCAATTTTGAACCGAGTTATAACGAATTCACGAAATTAACGAGGATTCGCGTTATTCGCGTGAATTTTCGATTTCAAACGGCGAGTACTGTAGTTTTCAAGTAGTTCGTCGACCTCCGGGATCTCATCCCCTTCCCAAAATTCAGCACACGGCAGCATAAACGCCAAAAGGGCTGGCTTGCTTACTTCATAAGGGCCCATGAAGGAGGCATAAAATCGATAATAATTTATGAGCGGCCCGAACCTTCTTTGGCATTTCCCGAGTTGAACAGAACAAATGATCCTCGCTTTCATGCTTCACGCGCAATCCCCTATTCTACTACCAGATTAGTCCCCCGTCAACCGCCGGGACCTTCCTTTCCTGCGCAAGCTTTCTATCCTCCGCTATGGCCGGGCGGCGCCGGGGCGGCGCCGCCGGGACGCCGTCCCTTCCTCCTGTGACACCAACACCTCCTGGAAGTGACGCGTATGCAACACAATGGTGTTTCATACAGTAGAAGGGACACAATCATGATATGACGGTAGATTTTTCGCTTCCCTTCCTCATCCTCCCTTCCTCTCTCCACTGCCCTCCAGCTGCCACTGCAGCACCATGTGGAATGAACGGAAGTGTGCTAAGCAGGTGTTTATATAGCCCTGAGAGTGTTATCACAACTATCCTGCTACAAAACATTGATATCTCAAATCCTGTAAGCTACCCGATTTGTTAGCGGTTTGTTTATCCCATGAGCTTCCTTCTCACTCACTTCATTTTGCGGACGGACACACATACATACATCCTTCTATTTTATAAAGCGCTAACTTTGTGTGTCGGTTTGTGTATCTGTATGTGTGTGTGTGTGTGTGTGTGTGTGTGTATGTATGTGTGTCCGTCCGCAAAATGAAGTGAGTGAGAAGGAAGCTCATGGGATAAACAAACCGCTAACAAATCGGGTAGCTTACAGGATTTGAGATATCAATGTTTTGTAGCAGGATAGTTGTGATAACACTCTTAGGGCTATATAAACACCTGCTTAGCACACTTCCGTTCATTCCACATGGTGCTGCAGTGGCAGCTGGAGGGCAGTGGAGAGAGGAAGGGAGGATGAGGAAGGGAAGCGAAAATCTACCGTCATATCATGATTGTGTCCCTTCTACTGTATGAAACACCATTGTGTTGCATACGCGTCACTTCCAGGAGGTGTTGGTGTCACAGGAGGAAGGGACCATAGCGGAGGATAGAAAGCTTGCGCAGGAAAGGAAGGTCCCGGCGGTTGACGGGGGACTAATCTGGTTAATAATACTCGAGATCCGTAAGTTGGGGTAGGCGTGTCACCGGAAGTGACGTGTACTTGATAGAATCTATGTGGGATAAGGGCTTCCAATATACATCGCGAGATATCAGCAAAGCATGCTGGCAACGACTTATCTACGCAACTTCTATCAAGTCCACGTCACTTCCGGTGACACGCCTACCCCAAACTTTCGGATCTCGACTGTACATACATTTTACATTTACCCCCTTTGGACCCAGAGCGCTCAAACTTCTAGAATATATGGAGGGCCGGAGGTGAACACTGATGAAGGGTGGCGGGAAGTGATAATGTTGTGGTTTGAATGATCGCCTAATCACAGAACATGATCTTATCGATACCATGATCGTCCGGGAAAACCGCATATATAAACCCTGGGTTGGCAGGCTGAAGGAGTTTGTGGTCGTATTCTCTTCGCCTCTGGACATCCCACATTATTGCCTTATTTTCTCTTATATATTTATTACCAGATTAGTCCCCCGTCAACCGCCGGGACCTTCCTTTCCTGCGCAAGCTTTCTATCCTCCGCTATGGTCCCTTCCTCCTGTGACACCAACACCTGGAAGTGACGCGTATGCAACACAATGGTGTTTCATACAGTAGAAGGGACACAATCATGATATGACGGTAGATTTTTCGCTTCCCTTCCTCATCCTCCCTTCCTCTCTCCACTGCCCTCCAGCTGCCACTGCAGCACCATGTGGAATGAACGGAAGTGTGCTAAGCAGGTGTTTATATAGCCCTAAGAGTGTTATCACAACTATCCTGCTACAAAACATTGATATCTCAAATCCTGTAAGCTACCCGATTTGTTAGCGGTTTGTTTATCCCATGAGCTTCCTTCTCACTCACTTCATTTTGCGGACGGACACACATACATACACACACACATACAGATACACAAACCGACACACAAAGTTAGCGCTTTATAAAATAGAAGGATTTCTATATTTCTCTATATTGTATAAAAAACTGTGGAATCAATTATTCGCTACACACCCGTACCAGGCCTCCGCTGCAGAAAAGAACACAACAGTGGGCGATCAGGATCTTCGAAAAACGCTGCACTTGGATATGCTCGGCTTCGACGGGAAGATGCGAAGAAAAAGCAGATAAGGATCTTCTGTTTTCGGCTCGCCTTCCAGCATTTGAGTGGGACAAGCCCCACTATTCAAAGAAGGAATTTTTTTCTTTTCCATCTGTTCGCTTCTTTTAGGATTACGGCTTTTGCCTTACGCGTGCCATTTTTGGTAGAACAATGGATACATCCACCATGTTATCGATGTTCAAGCAAGTCTTGGAAGAACAGAGGACAGCCACATCATCAGATGATGTCATCTATGATTTCGTCGATTATGAAGGAGCAAAGAGAAGCCACATCATCAATGATGAAAGAACAGAAAGGATATCATGGCGAGGATCATCAATCGCGTTCGAGAGCCTTGTCAAGTAGGTACCAAACCAGAAGAGCCAGCGGCCCTTCCCAAACGTTATGGCAGCCTTGAGCAACCGCATTGAGAAGTTCGTCTTCGACCCTGATGCTGCATGAGAGCTTTTCGAAATGGTTCTCAAGATATAAGGAGGTCTTCTCTGAGGATGCCAAGCAGCTCACTGAAGTTAACAAGGTGAGGCTACTTTGTGAGAAACTGGATTCCTTAACGTTCGAGAAGTATCAGAGGCACGTTGCTACTTAAGGGATGTTTCTCAAATCGGATTCGACGAGACGATACAAGCATTGAAGCAGCTATTCGATTACAAAGACCTCATTGTCCACCACAAGATATCAGTGCCTCAAGCTAGAGAAGAGCGATGCTGAAGATTACCTCACGTATACCGGTCGCGTGAATGAATTCTGTGAGAAGGTAAAGATTCACGAACTTGACTCAGATGGAATACAAAGATGAATGGTTACATACTACTCTGCATTTGTTCCTACCATGAAGAATCTCCGTGGACCTTCGGATGCCTTGCTCAAGAAGGATATAAAGTGGAGATGGACTACCAAAGAACAAGAAGCATTTGAAGACTTGAAGAAAACATTGTCAAGCGACGTCAATCTTGCTCACTTACGACCCTCAGCAGAAGATTGTTGTGGC